TTATTGCTCTCCTCCACATGCTTGTTTGTCATTTCTGAGCTTTGGTCCTGCTCTACCATCAGTTCTATGGGTTCAGGAGCAGCAGCATCAGGGCCAGCCCATGGGATTTCAGAGCTTGCTGCTCTCCCAGTTCCAGCAGTTTGAGGGACAGGGGAGTTGCCTCAGTGCTAAACCTTCACAGCATCTCCAAAACAGCGATTGCTGGTGTCATTAAAAAAAAAGATAAAGGGTGGCAGAGGTGTGAGGAGCAGGCAGGGGGATGTGTGGGGCGCAGGCAGCAGCATGTGGCATGGGGCCATGGCATGGCTGCAGCAAAAGGGCTGAGCTGTGCAAAGCCAAAAGCCAAAGGCAAAGTGGAGCCCTCGCCTCCTGCACATGGCTGAGCTGGATGGGCAATGAGGGGTCAGGAGCTCCTGGTGCTCAGAAGGGCTCCACGTAATTGCCAGGGAAGAAGCCTGCCTCCTCGCCCAGGATGCCTTCACACCATCCATCAGAGTACCTCCGTGTGACGTAGATGAGGGCCCCAGGCTCGAAGGAGAGCTCGTTGTCCTTCTGCCGTGTGTACGGGTAGAGGGTCAGCACTGTGCAAAGAAGGGGAGAGAGGCCATGGAGCAGAGTGGGGACAGCTGAGATGGGCAGGAGGAAAGGGCTGCACTGCCCTGTAGTGGGGCAGTCACATCCTCAGTGCTGTGACCACAGTCAGGGCCAAAGAATCTGGTGGATCTCAGCAGATCTGACCCTGGAGCTGCTGTACCTTTGTCCAGGTAGCTCTGTGGGGCGCAGAGGGGTTCCTCTGCAGCTGGTGGTGGTGGTGGTGGGGTGAAATCCTCAAAGTTGGGCAACACTGGTGGTGGTGGCAGTGGTGGCTCGAGGTCATCGGGGACTGTAAAACAAATTCAGTGAAGGCCAAGGGGCTCCACGTGGAACAGAGACCACGCACAGCACTTGTGTTTGAAATGAGCACCCCGGCATCCACAGACACTGCAGCACTCACCTGGAAGGCTGAAGTCCAGTGGGGGCACAGCCAGGTCCCCTGGTGGTGGTGGGAGCAGATCCCCAGGGAGAGGTGGGGGTGGTGGGATGGTGGCTGCAGCTGGGGTGGGTGGTGGACCCGGTGGGGGTGGAGGTGGGGGTGGTGCTGGGATGCCTTCCCCAGGGGTTCCTCCACTCGAGCTGAGGATTCAGAGTCAGGGAAAAGGTGTTGGGGGGGGGGGACAACAACGTCACCATGGGCAAACACCCCAACATCTGCGTGCAAAGCCATTTCCCCATTCTGTGTCTTAGCTTCCCCCTTGGGAACCATCTATGTCAAGTTTTTTTGCTTTAGAGATATACAGTGAATTTCCTGCTCCCCAGAACCATATTGCTTATCAAAACCTCTCTGCAAACAGATGCAGTAAGGTAACCACAGCTGCCCCAGACCCACTAATCCTCCTCCCTGGGCATTCCAGACCCCCCCCAGGTCCAGGCTGGTACCTGACTGATGTCAGTGAGGAGGCTGATGAAGCTGCAGAGAGCTTTCCCTCGGGAATCACAGGAGGCTGGATGGGCTCAGGGACACGAGTGCTCCTCCTGCCAACAGAGCAGGCGCTGAGCCCACGCTGCCAGGTGATGGCATCAGGACAGGGACAGGACACTGAGGGCAGCTGCATTAGGCAGCACACCCATGGCTCTGTCCCTGCTGTTGTCACCTGCTCAGCGACACCCAAGGCAGAAAGATTTCCTACTGCACACCACCCCAGAAGCCTCACCCCATGGTGCCTGCAGACTGTTGACTCTTGATCCCTTTCCGAGACAGTGTGCCTGTGCGGGACAGCTGGGTGCTGTGGTCCTGCAGGCAGGAGAAGACACAGACATATGGACAAGCTCATTGCATCCCATGCCTACCATGCCCCTGAAGTGCCCTCAAGGCCTTTGCTGAACTCTTCTCAAAAGGATGGGGGCTGTTGGAAGCTGCCCCAGCTGATAGGAGCAGATGTCTGCTGTGTGGCATTGCCACCGTGGGAACTGCAGCCCAGCACCACCACTTCCCCTCCGACTCCATGGTGGTTTCACACTGTGCACGTGGCTCTGATGCTGCTGAAAACCCACAGGCGCCTTCCGGTGAGAGGCAGCTTACAGGGGCAGTTTCAGTGCTGAAACAGCACTGGGGTAGAACAGCAGCTCAGCCCCAGCCTTGGCTGAGCAGCTCTGGGACTGTGTGCCTTTGTAGCACTGACAGTGTTCCATTCCCCTCATGCCCCAAGATGAGCCCTGCTGGGACAATTCCTGGAGTGGGCTGGGCGAAGTATGGAAAGACCCCAATTCTCTTTCCAGGAGGGGTTTGTGATCACAGAAAGTCCACCTGAGCCTCCACCTTCCCACGGGACACCCTCCAGACTGACCTTTATGCCATGGCCAACGTCGTCCAGGATGCTGAAGTTGAGGGGTTTCCTGTAGTAGGGCTCCAGGGACGGTGGGTTGGGGGGGGATGTGATCTTCTGGTGGGATGGGAACCTCTTGCTGACAGTCAGAGAGCCAATCTCCCGGCGAGACACTTTCTCCTTGTGCATGTCAACACTCTGTAAAGATGAAAGGCTTTAGGAAGCCTTCAGGTGTCAGGAAGAGGATGAGTGGCCGCAGGGCTCTGTGTCAACATCCCCAGTTCTCCAAGGGGACAAGGCCAGTATCCACCAAGGGGGGATTACAGCATCTGAGCCCTTGTGACTGCTGCAGGGCGGCTCCTTGGGGGTTTCCCCAGAGGCTGCCATGGTCTCCAAACACCCAGACCAAGACAACCCCTCAAGAACAGTTTCTCACCCCTCGGTGGACTTTTTCTTTAGCACGTTGGGTGACCAAGGTGCTGCAAGGGCTGACAGGCCATTAAAACCACAGGGAAGGATGGTCTCCAGTCCCTATATAAGCTGCTCCCCTTTTTCTGAGGCCAACCCTTCCCCAGGGCCCAAACCCCACAGCAGCACAGACCCATAACCAGGCAGTTGCTGAGGTCGGACCCACCTGGGCTACACAGCTGACGTTGGCCTCCAGCTTTTGCAGCTCGGCTGCCTGCAGGTCCAGCAGCTGCAGGAAGGTGGTGGCCAGCCTGCTGACCTGGTAGGCCACACTGGCCAAGGACTGCGTGCTGAACGCCATCGTCTCCTCCAAAGCCTTCCGCTTGTCGCTCGCCTGGAGGGTGAAACACGGCCCTGATGAGCTGGGAAGGCTGACAGCACACCATGCTGCTGCTGCCATTCCCACACTGGGGTCACAAGGGAGCAAAGGGGCTTCCTTCTGCTTTCCAAATGCATCACAGTTCCTCCAGCTCAGGCGGTGGGACTCAGCGGTGCTCAGCACCACCAGGGTGCGGTGGAACAAGCACAGAGGGGGGTCAGGAGGGTCTGTCCCAGCCCTGTTGCCAACAGCTGGGGAAGCAGTCTCAGTTCTCTGAATTGTTCTGCATGCTTCCCCTTCAGAGATACAGCTGGGGGCTGTGAACCGGCCAGAAGCTGCAGCAACAAGAAAACAACCCAGCCCTAGAGGATGCTTAATTGAGGCAGCAGCAATGTCTGGCTATGGGACAGGGAATGCTAGGGTCACAGCCCCAGATGGTTGGGGGGGCACCCGCATCCTCGGGTCTGCCATGGGGAAGTGAGGCCAGCAAGGTAGGATCCTTAAAGCACCCAGGAGACCCCCAGTCACAGCACTGTCCCCAGCCAATGGGGCCAAACCAACCCTTTTGCATTCCCTCAGCAGGTCACAAGGACAGGGGGGAGGAAGGCAGCACAGAGCCCAGTGCCCACCGTGTGCTGGGAGGGAGAGAGCATTGCGCAGCACCTCCCAAACCCCGAACTGCCATCCCCGCTCCCATCCAGCACCAAAACACCTGGAAGACCCCCCCCCCCATATCCCATAACCCTGATGGATGAGCAGAGGGGAAACTGAGGCACAAAAGCAGCGCTGAGGGCGCTCAGTGCTGGGCAGGAAATGAACGGGAACAGCAAAGCCTTCGCCCTCACACCATCCTCCCCACCACCCCCCCCGG